GAAAAGTTCTCTCCGCACAGCAAGTTTACTCCGGGAATCAGCTACTTATCAAATCTTTGTATTCTACAAGCGTGTCTGTTGCGGTCTTTTCAAACGTTATCTTTACCGACCAGCTTCTCAAGCTCTTCATGCTCACCCATCTCGGCGACTTCCGTGCCTTTTCAGATCTCGGTATATATTCCTCCTCCCACGTGTTGTAGTCGATCGCAAAGTTTCGAGATAAGCAGCTTACTTTCTCTCCACTGCGATACGGCAATCTTCATCGTACCATTTGCTTCTGCTAGCTTTTTGAAAACTAACAGTTCCCTTATTCCGATTCGCTGATATGTGCACTCAGAGAGCAGGAATGCTAGTCGAGTAGAAAACCGCTCGGCAGTCTGTTGTGGTTGCAGCTCTTCGAATCGATTTCGAACCTTCCTTGTGTTTGGTGAAGAGCCTCTATTGCTGTCATTGCTGCATTGAGGCGCGTGCGGATACTTATAGATAAATTTTGAGCAAATCTTTTATGCTATTATCTATACCATCAGCAGCAATGAAAAAAAGAATTTTAAATAAATAAATAAAGGAAGGAAAAAACTATTTTCTACAAACAAATTCAAAAACTCGGTATCAGTGAGTGCTCGTTGCCTCAAATTTTTTTTTACATATACTCTAATACAAAAGTATGTATGTAAGCACTTTCTCAAAAGCAAAATCTTGCTTGAAAATATGTATGTAAAAATGTTTGCTATTGCCACCTGTGATGTTTTGTTCGCTTTTTATGCTACGTTTATTCCTTCCTTACAAAATGTTATCCGCTTGCTTAACGATGATTGACAAATAAGATCAACGGTAAACAGTTTACCAACTGAGTGTTAACAATAGCAAATTCCCCCTGCTGGTTTCTTTGGCAATGCTTGTGATACAAAAATTACATTCACAGATCGAATCGAGATTTTTTTTGACGTTTAGATGACAGGCAACATGACATTTTAGCTTTACTCCTAGCAACAGCGTGAATGAGAAAAACTGGAATACCATTTTTACCTATGTATGTGTGTATATACATATGTATGCATTCAGTGTTTTCTGCTATGTACTCGTGCATATGTATCAGCATACTCGTATGAGAATAAACAAATCAATGCAGAATTTATATTTATGATGTACAAATATATATATATATATATATATATATATATATATATTTATGATATTATATATAAAAGTTATAGTGAAAATGTCATATGTATCTACATATGTAAAATAGTTTCGGCGGAGTTTGTTTGCTGAGCACAAGCAGAAGAGTGCACACGCGACAGCAGACTTAAGAAGAAGGTAAAAGCATTACAGTGAGTGTCACATTTATCGCTTTTCAACCGCAACTGAAAAGGAAATCTTTTACACTTTGCCACAACAGCACAGACACGGACACAGTGTTGTGTAAAATTGTATACAAGTGCTACAGCACGATTTACCGTTAAATAATTCTTCAGACATTCAGTGCTCAGTTGAATGCAATTTTGCAAGTTTTCATGGTTGATAGTTGAGTGCTCTGTTCTCTGATTCTTTCTCAAGAAGTTCTTAAAAATATTGCGTTTATTTATTCAACCTATACGTTTACGAGGATATTAACGGAAGTTCGGTAAGTTCATCAGGAAAATAAAATATTTGTTTTTACTTGTAATCTTCGTCCTTTTTTATCCTCTCTACATAATCGCCGTTGATTTCAATGCATTTCCCAAGCCTCTAGATAAAGTTCTGAAAACAGTATTCAAAATCTTGCTTTTTGAGCCTATAAAGTTCAGTATTAACCCCACAAATCATCTCCTCGTTGCTACTAAAGACCTTTCCATTCATTTTTTTTTTAAATTTTTGGTAGTAACCCGAAATCATTAGGTGCTATATCCCGGGAATATGGTGCTGAACGTATTTCTTCGATCGAGAGATACGAATAAAATTACTCGTCCCCTCAGCAGTGTTGGATGGTGCGTTGTCATGATGTAAAAAGTAGCACCGCAAATCTTTTTTCTGCCTCTTCTTTACAAAAAATGTTTGAAGACTTTTGGTAAACCCTCTTCGGTGTATCATTTTGTACTTACCGTCTGACCCTTTTACAGTGGAATAGTAGTTATGATTTTAGATCGGGTGAAGTAAGCTGACAACATTACTTTTGGTGCTAATTTTTGTTGCTTAGCTTATACGGGTGGGTTTGCTCCTCTTGGGCTCCATACCATGGACTGCTGTTTGGTTTCTAGATCGCACTTATGGAACTAAGATTCGTTACCACTAACGACTTAACTAAATTTGCTAGCCAGACCATTTTTGAATTTCTTTAGGAAAAAATGAGAAATATGCATTCGATCCGCTTTTTGGCCTCACTTAAAACTCGTGGTACCCATCGAGCAAATTTCGACGCGTATCCCAGATGATTACTTAATATTCGCGACAAAGTCACCCTTTGCAAAAATTTTCTTGTGCCAATCGTGGGTATTCTCTTATTTTGGTATTCACCACAGCTACAGTGACGTCATCAGTGGAAGATTTGGGTCGCCCTTCTCGAGGCTCGTCCACTTCGGAAAAATGTCCGGTCTGGTAACTTCAGAACCATATAATCGTTCCTTTTACAACTTGGCACTCACTGACTGTAAACTACGCTGGAACCTGAACAGAATCACTTGGCGAGTTGTTATTTGCGTCGGTGGTGGAATTTCGTCGAACCTGTCTTCAGCTATCTTGCCGTTTCTCGTCTCCATTTTAGCGGATTGTTCTCATATTTGAAAGGAAAACTAAGAGAGTAATTGCAAGGAATTTGATATTTTTAGATTTAACAAAAAGTAATTGAACATTAATACGGTTGCCGTGCCGAAACGAGTGTTACTATATTCCTACTTTTCGCTGTAATGTCATGACATGAGATGAGAGGCGATCAAGGAGATGATTTAGAAATGTTGGAACGATAATGAATATTGAATTTATTTATAGTTAGTCCACGAACTTCGTGCTCTTTCCTTTGGACCTGTATCTGATAGTTATTGAAAAGGGGTTTTTACTATCTTACTTTAATCTGATTTCAGGTAGCATTTGTAGCGGTTTACACGCTTCCATTACAATTATGTTTCTGATCTTGCGGTGCGTGTTTATATGCATCCATTCTGCTTCAAAAATGTTCTCATAGTCTTTTGCATGCATATCTTTTCTTTCCGATGTTGTACAAGCAGGCGATGAATTTCTTGTAAATTACAGAAATTCTTCACCTTTTTTGTCTTTGAAATGCATTATTTTCTCTCAGATTTTTTAAAAAGCGATTTTAAAAATTTAAAATTTAAATTTTAAATTTCTAATAAAAATTTACCGATAAGTGGTCGGTCGTATTATGTAAAGTATCGCAATTTGACTAGCTCATACGACCTATTGACCTAAACGGGATCGCCGCAAGAAGAAGACAGACTCGACTTCAAGTTGACATTCCTAAGTGGAATAAATGGAAGGAGCACTTAAGATCCTGCAACCTTTTCTCTAGAGCAATACGCTCTGAGCCTGAGCACGACAGCCTGTACAACGCTTAAGACAAGCAGGAGCAGAAAAAAATATATACCCGTCATGTGAATAACGCTAATAAAACCGAGTAAACCAGCAAAGAAAGGAGAGTCATATCGACGATGTATCATCTTCTCTCCAGATGCGAACGTTATTGAAGTCTTGCTGCTCCTGACTTTCACACAACATCTGAGTTAAGCAACACAACGGCACTTAATCCCTCAAACACCGAGATAGTTAATGTCCTAAAAACAAAACCTGTAGCTCTGCGCGCCAACTGTCCAGTTAGCACTTGATCTGACTGTCAATCATTCAGCGCTATTATCAGGGATTAAGAAATCCTCACTACCGCCGAGGTCGAAGACGTGTACCTTGAGCTACCCTAAGTGGTCGACAATCAGCAGCAGAATTTCGGAGTCAAACTCCCTCCTCCACCGGAAGGTGTTTCACTGATCTCACATGCCATTAATTGCTCGATATTGTCATCTGACCAGGATATTGATAAATTATATTTGAAAGTGAACTGAAGTGGAAAATATGCGGCGTCGGTCTGGTCACCAGCGACTAGCCAGATGCAGATGAAGATGCTACAAGCCTACCAAAACACATTAATTGGAAACCTCCTGTTGTCGCCACAGCATCATTTGCACAGCGAAGCATGTATGCTATGGGATGCTACCTTAAGCTACCTCCGCAACAAAAACTAACTAGCAGACGAATCACCCTTTAAACATATCAGAAAGGAGTACTAGATTTAAAGGACACAATCCAGAAACCTGTGCAGCAATCACTGGACAGGACGGTGTGCCGACAAGCACTGAGCGCCATATATCAGGAGCTTGTCAACACCTTCACAGACTGTCTACCCGTTAATGACGGGCTCGGAGATAAAGCACAACGAGCTCAAGCAGGTGAAACTCCTACCTATCCAGACTCCAATCCAACATACCCAACATATGCCCAGCATGTGCAGGGTCTCCGCGCGCCACCCCTCTCCCTCTGGTCCAATCCCGTCGTCACAGCACGTTTTCTCGACCTCCCGTTAGATGACCTCGGTGACTGAGATTAATTTTCAACCTGCCCCAAAGTGGGGTTAACGTAGCCGCTAAAACAACAACAACAACAAGAACAGAGCCTCGCGCAATACTGGCGCAACTAAGATCTGGATGTTATAGTAGACTAAATTCCTGCCTATTCATACTAAATCCCGACAATCCAACGTGTGTCCTCCATGAAATGTACGTCCTCATGACACTAACCACCTCTTTGCATGTCCCTAAAACCAACTCATATAACCCTCCTCTTTTTATCTGGTCCGAAAATGTCGAAACAGCTCGTTTTCCGGTAGATGATTCATCAACACAAATGGCTAAAATTTGTATGTTTTTCTGCTTTCGAATGGGTATAAAGTATGAAATAAACGTCTTTGTTTAAAAATCATTTTTCTTTAGTCGGAATAACCCAAAGTTCCTGTGACTCACCTGATATGCCATCGTAGGTCCACCATTCTTCCCAACTAACTGCCAGTAGCACTGAAAATAAAAATGTTAAACATGTTTACTGTAATTGCAGAAAATTTATATTATTATATTACAAATTTTTTTAAATGCAAGAATACATAAGGCGCATACCAAGGTCGCAGATGCTCCTTTTATCAAAAACCGGCGAGAACGATCGCTTGTGATCGTCCACTAAGAATTCATAATTGCGTTTGTGTTGTTTATAAATAAAATTATTACCAATGGCTTTGAGGAAAATAAAATTTCTAGCTACGACTGGAAAAAGGGAGTATATAATGTTAGAACTTTGCGCTTCTTTACTTAGACCTGAACAGTCTTAGAGATCATTATGCTTTCAAAGCGAGGTAAAGATTCAACGATGGCCAACTCTCAACAGGGTGATTATCCTTATATCTGTATTTTCTGAAACCTATCAATAACTTTTGCGAAACGAATAAAGCGGATTTCAGTATCGAGCGTAGCTGTATCATGTCATTAACCCGATATAAGCGAAATCAAGAGTTATGTACTGTTATATTCTTCGATGCTACCCTGGTATTAGGCAAAAAAATAAACAAAAATATATCATGCAAGCTGAGAGGGATGTCCAGGTATTTTTAACATACTTTAAGATCATTGCTATTACAACTGTCCCTGCTTTGATCACTATATTTGTAATTTAATAACCTGTATAGTTTGTACTATTAATAAATTCGTCGTCAGGCATAGCAACCAATTAGCTGTTAAATAGTATGAGCCTCCGAACGGCCGATGGATTTATATGACGAGCTTTTTAGAGGGTGTCCCACAATTATTGCATGGTTGGAATCGCACAGAAAAACAGTTTTTCAACCGAATTTTGTTTACTAAATCCTCAAGTGCATATGATAGGATTATTTATGGAATTACACATCGGGCAAATGGCCTTCATGGCGTTCCACACACATACGCACCTGTGTGTCGAAATTTTCCAGGCGTAGTAGTGGGTTTGTTGAAATAAAGCTGTGTTTGTAAATAATCTACTAATAAGATATCTAGAGATTTAGATCGTAAGATCGGGCCAGTTTTGATCACCAAAACGAGCGAATATACCATCTGGAAATGTCTCATTCAGTAATTGAAGTGTTTCAAGGGCTGTGTGCCGTGTGGCACGATCATGTTGTAACCACATATTGACCACAACAATATCATTAAATTATGACAAAAAGAACTGGGTTATCAAGTCGCAATATCGGGCACCCGTAACAGTTACTGCTTGACCAGTCTCATTTAAAAAAAAAAATATTACGCAATTACGCCTCTAGCCCAAGAACTCACAACAAACAGTTGACACGTTGTTGAGGCGTTTCTTCTCAGAAGCCCGAATCGGCAATTTTGGCGATTAACAAACCCGTCAAAATGAAAATGTGCAAGGCGATTAATTTATGAACTTAGTCTATTCAACAAACTCACTTTCCAGTACTTGGCCTATAGGCTTCAGTTGTTGTGTTAATAGAATGGAGGCACAGATCTCTGGTTAGCATGTAGAAAGCTTCTTGAAACTTGCAATTCTTATCCACGAATTCGAGTTGTGGTTCTTAGATCGTTACTAACTCTCTCATGCACTGCATCGTTATTGTTATTTGAACGGCTTGGGCTTAGCGTCTCCTATGGATCCTGTCTCACGGAATTTTTTCTTTATCAATCTCTGCATAGTTGAAGAGGTTAAAACGCTAGTCCGACAATATTTCGTATGAAATTTTCAAAGTACATGACAATTTTACGAGCTGCCAAAAAATATTATGGAATGTACGCATTTGTATGTAAGCGAACAACTAACAAACGGCTATCGTTGTAGCTGTGCTTCAATTAGATCTATTCATAATTTCCCTCACATACAATACTATACAAAACAAAGAAACAATTTTTGGAAGGTTTTTAAGTCAATATTTGAGTATTCTTAGGTTAATCTTTTTTATATTCCGATGCGTACTGTCTTCCCGAAATAAAATCCGTATTAAAATATGATTTTTGAAGGCGAGAACTATCGGCGGCTGTACTGTATACGTAAGACAGTACTGCCATACGTAGGACCCGGGTTCAAATCCTAGTGCAATCAACATCAAAACAGTTATGGAAAATTAATTAAAACGAAAAATTAAATTAAAATATTTTAATTGCGGTCGCCCCTCCGCATTGAACGTCAACCCATACTAGTGTATTTCCGACATGAAATAAAAGTTCCTCTTAAAAAAAGCCAACAGTCATTCGGAAGAGGCTTAGTATAGACTGTGAGTCCTTTTTCTTTGGAAAACATCAAGAGGAAAACCACAAATTTGAGGAGGAGCTCTGCCGAAAAATCCCTCCAGCGGTTTCAAAACGGCAATTATATATATAAATATATATAAATGAATATTCTTACTTGGTCCAAATTTTGTATTTAGCTCGATATCAAGCCGTAGTAGTTGAGCTTAACTTTTGAATGTCTATTTCCTGTGCAATGACTCGCAGCTCTTACAATATTTACGAGTTTTTATGTTATAAACTAATTTCTATGTAACTACATACAGTATATATATATATCTAATATTACACTGAACAGCCTGGCAGAATTAAGCACCGAAACTACCCAGCAAAGAAATCTAATAAATTAACAAAAAGCTAAAAAAAAAAGCAGTGAAGTAGTGTAATCAAGCGAGAAATAGTTAGAGAAGATAACCAAACCAAAAAAGAGCTGTCAGTGCCTTTTTTTTTGCACACTTAACCCCCTCTCTTATCGCCAATGGGCAAACACATTACACCTGCTCATTACAATTGAGCTTGAAAAAGTGTTGACATTAAGCAAAGTAAGTGTGTACATTGGTGAGTGAAAAGTAAGCAGAAAATGCGCAAAGCAGAGATAATGAAAATGAGAAGTTAAGAAGAAATGTAACGAAACGCTGAATGTCCGAAATGGTAGTTGGTTGAACGCACTTAAGCTGCAAACGCCCACAACCAAAGCAGCGTGTTGTCTGTCTGCACGTCTGTTTGCATGTTCGCTGAACGAACAGTAGTAGTAGTGGAGTAGTGTAACGGTTTGTGTGAATGTATGCATGTAAATATGTAGGTATTCGCTTGAAATCCCACGCTGCTGCTGCTGTGACCGAGCAAGGCGTGCAAGGAAGGTGTCATGGCTGGTTTGATGGGGAGCTAAAGTACAGACGCAGTAAATTAACTTAATTAAGTGCTGCTTTGGTGAAGTGGCAGCCGCCAAGGTGCTACAATAACTTTGTTAGTGCTTAATGTGAGTAAGCTGCGCTTTCGGTTGCAAAGCCAAAGCTTGCTGGTTGCTGGTTGCCGGCTGCCGGCTGTGTGGTCCATGTATGTGGTTGAGTTGGTGTTGATATTCGGGCATGAATGTATTTTTCAAATCATTTGTTTTTTTTTAGCGTTGATGTTTGGAAATTCGCTTCTTTCTTTTTTTTTTGTTACTCTTTTACTTTGCGTTTAACTGCGACGGCGCACACGAATGGTTGCATACTGTCAAAGCAGCATATTCGTTGCAAATGCAAGCTGTTGGCTAATGGTGAATGGACGGAGTGTACTTTATTGACCGCATTTTTTTGCTGAACCAATTTTTTATTTTGGAATTTTTATATTCAGTAGCTTTGTATTCGTCTCACTTTAAACTTTTTCATTAAAGTGCTTTATTTGCATTTCATCTGCTGCGTTGTAGCCAAGTTAATGATGCGGAAAGTTGTCTGACTGCAAATAAGCAGCGTTACTTTGCAAATTTTGTTTTCAAAGGATTTAACAAAAATTTAGTTTCTTACTTACTTTCAAATCCAACATTCAAGATTCATAGTGGAAAAAAATAAATAGCGTTGGGAGGGACATGGGTCAGTGAAATTTCATTGCATTTCGTACGCTTTGACAGGCGGCGACATGCATTTCAGCACCTTTTGACAAGCGCACGATTGGCATAAAAGGATTATCTACTGCTCAAACACGGCACGAAAGGAAGCAATAAAATTTGTAGAAAACCCGTAAAAGGAGTGGTGAAAGCAAATATTTCCCCAACACTCACCACGTCTGATTGGCGGCGTGAGTCACGTTCAGACGATATGCTGAGTCAGTGTGCGACTTTTTTTCTTTAGTGCTTTAAAGAAAATAAACGAAAGTAAAAAGCAACAAGCAATGAACATAAATTTGAATGAAAATACAAAAATAAAGCAAATCAAAGTTTCTACAAAACTTTACACTAATGTTATTACTTGCCTTTCAACTTGTTGACATATTGATGCAACAACGTTTCTCCGCACGAATATTAAGCCAGCAATGCTGCTTTATATACATATATATATGAGTATATATATACGAGTACATACATACGAGTATATTGCAGTCAACTTCCTCGCACGCAAAACCAAAAAGCAAAGGAGGCACCCGAAATACAAATAAAGGGGAAAAATTGTTGTTTTTCTCGAGACGGAAGTTAACAAATTACGAAACGATTGACATGGCGGCAGTGAGAAATGATTGTGTAAAGTTAGCGTGTACCGTGATGTACATATATGCTCATACATAGGAATAACAATTTCGGGGTTTCAAAAGTACGAGGCTGTATTTTGACATTTGTGAAGCTTGGCTGTCAGTCATATTTGCAAGTGGATCGCTTAAGAAAAGCACAATGCTTTGAAATTTCTAAAATCTACAGCAAAAATGTTTACATAAACGTGGCCACGCATTTTAAATATCGAACTGCTCAAACAATTGGTAAAGTTTTAAGGAAAATTAATGAAGGGTCAGCTACAAATATTTGAGGGCCTTTGCATCATCGTTTCGTGCCACATCAAAAATTCCTACTGTAAGTGAAAGTGAAACCAAAGAGCTGAATGTGTATGTTTCTCGACGTGCTCAAGAGCTAGAACTTGCTTACGACACATTATTACATCCAGCTCACTCAGCAACTGTGGCCAGCTGACCAGTCACAATGCTGTACATACGTCGTTTGGGTGCGATAAAGATATTTCTCACTTTTTCCATGCGTAAATAAGTAAAATTGTCGCATTTGA